TGACCCTTCCTAGAGAGGGTTTCACATATTTTTACACGTACCTTTTTACTTTGGATGTGTTTTCTTTGGACGGAGAACTTGATACTGTGATAGCAGAATTTTGTCTCCGTTATCAAGTGTGTTTGGCATAGGTAAGTCCTTCTGTGTGGAGGACGGAGCCTGCCTCCGGCGCTTGTGCTGGAAACCAAAGAAGAGCTATCATTGGCTCATATGGTGAATTTGTACTCCCCCAAAATCTTCCGCGGGAGAATGATAAATCTCTACAAGTGTGGTCATCATGCTTTGATATCCAGCATGGATAACTACAACGACTGAGGGTGGATGGAACGAGTCGTTGCAGTTGCCTCTGGTAACATTATTCCCATAACGGTCTCATCCTTTCCGGTTGCCTGGAACCGTTCCCGTAAGTTTCTTTCAATACGTTCTTCCCTCCTAAATGATTTTTTACGCCTGTATTGATCTTTCAACTTTTGTATGTTACATCGACCCGATGGGTCCCACTGGTAGTAGAAGGCTTGGACCGGTGGGTTCAAAAAATCTTGAAAGTTACCATACCCGAAATTTGCTTGGGGAAAGAACTGTCCATCAAATACGGGTGAAAGTCCAAAAATCATGGTAACTATAATTTGTTTTTCTTTAGTTTTTGTATATGTGGAATTTGGCTGAATCTCCTGGCTTATTTGTCGAATTAGGTCTACCCCAGGGCTCAGTCGAGATCCCTGAAGAGAATGTTTTGGATGACCCTGTCGATGCAGCGCAGCTGCTCCAGGAGGCACTTGCTCGAACGGATGCCTCCGGGTCTACTCCGGGCATAAATATTTCTTCACGGAGTCCCCAGTCAGAGAACAAGCAACCAAAAAGAAGGCGTTCCTTTGTGGCCGGGGAGAAGAATAAGAGGGCAAAGGTTGATGCCCCCGAATCATCCCAAGTGGCGACATTGGCCGGTCCTCCCTCCGGGCCGGTCATAGATACCGTAGTGATTGACGATAAAGAAGCTAGTGATAATAAAGCTTCTCTTCATAGAAGACAACAATCCTTATCCTCTCAACAGGATGCTCAACCTATTGATGCAGTCACACCCACCGAGGATGATGTCTCGGCACTTTGGGGAGAGTTTGATTTGGTGAAAAATTCCAACTCCTATTCTCGGGCCCCAATCGTTATGCCCGGTACACTAAGGCAGAGTACCGGGTCCTTGCCGTCCTCGGTTGGTGAGCACCCAACAATCAGTGCTGCCTTCGGTGCAGCTGCTTCACGTTCTTCTTCTTCACCAGCTTTATCACCACTTTTTTTGCCACCAGCAGCTGCTACATCTTTTTCATCTTCATCCACGCTTCCCCCAATAACATCATCTCCAATGGCCATGCCCAATCGTGTTGAAAGCGTTCCTCTTCCCCATTCTCCTGTTCATGAGAATTTGGGGAAAAATTATGCTGCCCCTTCTGAATATCCTCAGAGGAGGAGGAATATTACCCTCTTGGTCTCTACCGGGTGTAACCTTCTTTCCCGGCAGGTAGAGCTTGCAAATTACTTGAAGCCCTTGGCATCAGAGAAGGATTGGGAGAAGATTTAGACACTCTCAGGAGAGTGTTTGTTGAACAATGCCATGCATAATGCCGCAACGGTATGTTTCTGTCTTTCTCTTCTATTTCTCAGCTTCTGAATGAGTGCATTTTAAGTTTTACCTCTTCTTATCTTGCAGGCCAATTTTCTTGCTTTTGAGGGCCTACAGAGGTTAATCCGTAAGAATGAGGAACTTTTTTCTGAACGGTATCAGACAGTTCTTCGCCTCTCGGAACTGGAAAGCAGGGCCATTGAGGTCGTTGTTTTGGAAGCCCGCTTGCAGCAAAGTGAGCAGGAAGTAGAGATCCTTAGCCAGGAAATTGGGCCATTGAGGACTAGTTTTGATGAAGTCAAAGCTAAGTGGGCTGAGGTCCAGGATGCCATTCTTGCTGCCAGTGACCGAGAGGCTACTGTTGCTAAAAGGGTAACTAACTTAGAAGCAGCCTTGAATTCTAAGGCCGAAGAGCTTACTGCTGCAGAGGCGAGATACGCCTGGTTAGAGGAGAAGTATAAGAAAACTATCGAGCACAACAGGCTCTATAGTTCAACTGTCTATGATCTCGATGTCAGTCTCTGATGTGCTAGGTCTGCCCGGGATAATCTTTCTGCCGAGATCACTCAACTCAAAGAAGAACTCAGGTGTCGAGAGGCTTCCCTCATTGAAATAACTTAATCCATGTACAGAATGAGGAGGAAGACCTTGGAAGGAGCCAAATCTGGCATTTTTGATATTGATGCTAAAATTGCTAAGGCACGCGAGCTTGAGTTGGCTGTAAAGAAAGGACTCCCAGCGCGGTCTGATTCTCCAGGTTCTTCTAATTCTGGTTCTGAGATTTCGGACACTGAAGAGGAATAAGAAGGCGTTGATGTCAAAGATCAAGCTGGGGAAGATGTTGAGCCATCGGTTGTACCGGCTACTGCTCCCGGGGATATGGATACCTCTCTTCCTCCTGATTCTAGTGATGCTGTAGCTTAGCTTATCCTTTCCTTGTTTGTATTTCCTTTTGGTACATCCTTGTAAATAAAGACGTATTGTTGCTCAACTATGCGACTGAGTCTTACTTTGCTTGGATATCTGTGCAAGTTTTTTAACCCTTGTGCATGTCTTCCTTCTTTTCTGCATGTGGTCTTGGGTGCTTTTTCTTCGATGCACTTCTGTCTCCGAGAATTATCCCTTTTACATGAGGGTTTTTATAAGTGTTTACTCAAGTTTGGTTTCTATGTCTTTTTCATATGTGGCTTCGGGTGTATTTTTTTCCGATAGCATTTTTGGTTCCGGGGATATATTCTTCTGGAACTAACCCTTTAACATGAGGGTTTTTATAGGAGAGGGTCCACTTATGTTTACGGTGCTCTTGAAGAGGACGTCTCTTATTCATTACGGCACTAGCATTTGAAGTACTTGTTTAACTTTCAAATGACAAAATTAGCTCATCTTGCAGACAAGAAACAAGATAAAAGCAAAAGGATTTCATTTCATTCCTTCCGTTTTCATAGTTTACATAGGTATTTCGCTATGTAGAAAAGAAGTTGCAATGACTTGTGGCTATCTTATATAACTTATTTCTTCGGGGCTGGTTGTGCAGTCCCCGGTCATGATGATGCACGACATTCAGTGTTGCCTTGCCGGATTTTCATTCCCGATTGACGTGGCATTCAGTGTTGCCTTGCAGGATTTTCGTTCCCGGTTGATGTGGGATTCAGTGTTGCCTTGCTGAATTTTTGTTCCCGATTGACGTGGCATTCAGTGTTGCCTTGTAATCATATCATTATCCCCCTCAGTGTTCTAATGCGAAGAATGCGAGTTGGAACTCTAGAAGTCTTGTATCTTCGAAGGTTTCACTGATGAATTGCTACGTAACCCTTCGCTCGGTAACATATTTTGCTTTCCCCTTAGGAATTTATGCTGTCGAGTGAAAGAATACCTAACAATCCTCAAGTAGTTTGTGCTCGTGAACGATCGTGTAACCTTTGTTCGATAGCAAATTACCACCGGGAAGTTAAATTGCTACCGAAGCAAAGATTACGTTATCGTCCCCGAGTGGAGACTTGTTTGTTTGCCTTGTCATCAAAGGTCTTATTGCTGCTTTTTTTTTGTAGTATGCTTGTGGTCGTTGCCTCGTTAAAAACCTTGCTTTTCGTCTGACTGTTGTTTGTCAGCAGTAATATTTTTTGAGATGAGCCACGTTCCAGTTGTTGGGCAACGTATCTCCATTGTGGTTTTCCAACTCATATGACCCTTTACCGGTGATAGCTGAAACCCGGTAAGGGCCTTCCCATGTAGAGTCTAACTTGCCAGCATTGAGTTCTCGGGTGTTTTGAGTCACCTTCCTCAAGACCAAGTCTCCTATTTTGAAGTAACAAAGGTTGGCTCTTTGATTGTAATACCGCTTCATCCTCTACTTTTGAGCTGCCATTCTTATATGTGTCAGGTCTCTATGTTCCTCGATCAATTCTAAGTTGATTAGCATTGACTCATTGTTTGATTCTTCGTTTTCCTTGGAATAACTTAAAGTGGGCTCCCTTACTTCCACCAGTATCAAAGCTTATGCGCCGTACACAAGGGAAAAGGGGGTTTCTCATGTGTTTGATTTGGCCGTTGTTCGGTAGGCCCATAATACCCCTAGTAACTCTTCGGGCCAGCGGCCTTTCGCTGCTTCTAGCCTTTTCTTTAGATTTTGCGCAATTGTTTTGTTTGTCGACTCCGCTTGTCCGTTTGCGCTCGGATGGTAAAGTGAAGAAGTAATCCTTTTTATCTTCAGATTTTCAAGGAACTTTGTAACTTTTGTGCCGATAAACTACGGTCCATTGTCGCATGCAATCTCCTTCGGTATTCTGAACCTGCATATTGTATTTTCCCACAGGAAGTCGACCACTTCGTGTTCTCCGATCTTTTGGTAAGGAACTGCTTCTACCCATTTAGAAAAATAATCAGTCAAAACTAAAAGAAATCTTACCTTTCCCGGAGTAGGTGGTAGTGGTCCGATGATGTCCATCCCCCATTTCATGAATGGCCATGGGGACAGAATTAAATGTAGTGGTTCTGTTGGTTGATGTACTAGTGGTGTGTGGCGTTAGCACTTATCGCACTTTCGTACTAAGTCCTTGGCATCTAGTTCCATACGGGTCCAATAATATCCTGCCCTGACTAATTTCAGCACCAAAGAATCTGTGCCCGAGTGGTTGCCACAACTCCTTTGTGAATTTCCATCATGATGTAGCTGGCTTCCGATGCCCCTAAGCATCAGGCCAACGGGCCTTGAAATGATTTACTGTATAATTGGCCTTTCTCGAAGCTGTATCATGTGGCTTTGGTGTGCAGTGCAGTTTCCCGTGTTCAAGATAATCGATTATCTCATTTCTCCAGTCCCAGACTAGATTGGTCGAATTCACCTCATAGTAACCATTCATGTCTAAGGTTGAGTTCATCAGTTGAACTATCGCCCCCGATTCCGGCCCCAAATTTCTGTCGATGAGCCCAGATTTGCTAACGTATCTGCTTCAGCATTTTCTTCCCTCGGGATATGGGTTATTGACCACTCCCGGAATCGTGACAATAAGGCCTGAACCTTTACCACGTATTGTTGCATTCGCTCATCTTTCGTGTCAAAAATTCTGCATACCTGATTTACCACTAGCTGCGAGTCACATTTGATGTTGATGGCTTCGGAGTCGAGCTCCCGGGCCAATTTGAGCCCTGCAATCAAAGCTCCATATTCTTCTTCATTGTTAGTTAAAGTAACCGTCCTGATGGCTTGGCTTACCACTAATGACAAAATCCGTTGTTCGGTAGGCCCATATTACCCCTGGTAACTCTTCGGGCCAGCGGCATTCCGCTGCTTCTAGCCTTTTCTTTAGATTTTGCACAATTATTTTGTTTGTTGACTCTGCTTGTCCGTTTGCTCTAGAATGGTAAGGTGAAGAAGTAATTCTTTTTATCTTCAGATTTTCAAGGAACTTTGTAACTTTTGCACCGATAAATTGTGGCCCGTTGTCGCATGCAATCTCCTTTGGTATTCCGAACCTGCATATTATACTTTCCCATATGAAGTTGACCACTTTGCGTTCTCTGATCTTTTGGTAAGGACCTGCTTCTACCCATTTGGAAAAATAGTCAGTCAAAACTAAAAAAAATCTTACCTTTCCCGGAGCAGGTAGTAGCGGTCTGACGATGTCCATCCCCCATTTCATGAATGGCCACGAAGACAGAATTGAATGTAGTGGTTCTGTTGGTTGATGTACTAGTGGTGCGTGGCGTTGGAACTTATCGCACTTTCTTACAAAGTCCTTGGCATCTAGTTCCATACGGGGCCAATAATATCCTGCCCTGGCTAATTTCAGCACCAAAGAATCTGCGCCCGAGTGGTTGCCACATACTCCTTCATGGATTTCCCTCATGAAGTAGCTAGCTTCCGATGCCCCTAAGCATCGGTCCAACGGGCCTCGAAATGATTTTCTGTATAATTGGCCTTTCTCGAAGCTGTATCGCGTGGCTTTGGTGCGCAGTGCTCTAGACGATTTGGGGTCTTTGGGCAGTTTTCCGTGTTCGAGATAATCGATTATCTCGTTTCTCCATTCCCAGACCAGATTGGTCGAATTCATTTCAAAGTAATTATTCATGTCTAAGGTTGAGTTCATCAGTTAAAATATCGCCCCCGATTCCGATCCCTAAATTTATATTGATGATCCCAGATTTGCTAACGCATCTGCTTCCATGTTTTCTTCCCTCGGGATATGGGTTATTGATCACTCCCAGAATCGTGACAATAAGGCCCGAACCTTTACCACGTATTGTTGCATTCGCTCATCTTTGGAGTCAAAAATTCCCCAGACCTGATTTACCACTAGCTGCAAATCGTATTTAATGTTGATGGCTTCGGAGTGGAGCTCCCGGGCCAATTCTAGCCCTGCAATCAAAGCTTCGTATTCTGCTTCATTGTTAGTTAAAGTAACCGTTTTGATGGCTTGCCTTAAGGTTTCCCCCGAAGGTGTGACCAGGACTATTCCGAGCTTGGACCCCTTCATATTAGAAGCTCCGTCTGTGAATAAGGTCCAGACTCTCGATGCTGGATCTGACACCATTATTGCTTGTTTGGCAGCCAGGGGCAATAACCTCGGGCTAAAGTCGACTACGAAATCAGCCAATGCTTGTGACTTAATCGCAGTCCTTGGCTTATACTCTATATCGAACTCGCTCATTTGAATGGCTTATTTGGCCAACCTACCCGAGAGCTCGGGTTTATGGAGTATGTTCCTCAAAGGAAAAGCAGTCACCACCGCTATCGGGTGGCATTGGAAGTAGGGCCTTAGCTTCCGGCAGCTACCACGAGAGCTAAGTCCAGCTTTTCCAGATGTGGGTAGCGAATTTCTACTCCCGTTAAAATTTTGCTAACGTAATATGTGGGGAATTGCATACCTTTTTCCTCTCGAACCAAAACTGCACTTACCGCAACTTCTGCAACCACCAGGTAGACCAACAATGCTTCTCCTTCTTGAGGTTTCGAAAGCAACGGAGGGCTTGACAAGTATTTCTTCAATTCCTTCAAGGCTTTTCGACACTCTGGCGTCCACTCAAAGTTGTTTTTCTTTTTGAGCAGTGCGAAGAAGCGATGACACCTTTTTGATGACCGAAAAATGAACCTGCTCAAAGCCGCTAATCTGCCTGTGAGTCTTTGTACTTCCTTTACGTTGTATAGTTGATCCGAGATGTCTTCTATGGCCTTCATTTTGTCGGGACTCACCTCAATTCCTCTTTGTGAGACTAGGAATCCTAAGGATTTACTTGAACCGACCCCGAACACACACTTCTCGGGGTTAAGCTTCATATTATGCTCTCTCAGTGTGTCAAACATTTCTTGCAGATATCTCAGGTGGCAACCTGCATCCAGAGACTTGACAAGCATATCGTCTATATATACTTCCATAGCTTTTCCTATCTGTTTTTCGAACATCTTATTTACGAGTCGTTGGTAAGTGGATCCGGCATTTTTTAGTCCAAAGGGCATTACGTTGTAACAATATGTACCAAAATTTGTTATAAACGAAGTTTTTTCCTAATCTTCCGGGTTCATCTTGATCTGATTGTACTCGGAATAGGCATCGAGGAAACTCATTAACTCGTGCCCAGCCGTAGCGTCAATCATTTGATCAATATTCGGCAATGGAAAAGAGTCCTTTGGGCATGCCTTATTAATATCTTTATAATCTATGCACATCCAAACTTTATTGTTTTTCTTAGGGACTACTACCACATTAGCTAGGTAGTCCGGATATCTTACCTCTCGGATTGAACCAATCTTGAGTAGACGAGTTACCTCTTCTCTGATGAATTTATTCCTTGCTTCTGCAATAGGGCGCTTATTTTGCCTTACCGGAGGTATGCTCGGGTCTAAGCTAAACTTGTGCACGGCTATCTCTGTTGGGATTCCTGTCAAATCATTGTGCGACCATGCAAAACAATCGACGTTAATTTTAAGGAATGCAATAAAATCTGACCTGAGCTCTGGGTGTAGTCCTGGTCCCAAATGGAATTTTCTTTCTGGGAGTTTTTCGAACAGGGCAACTAGCTCTAGTTCTTCTACCTTGGATTTCGTTGCGTATGTTTCTTCCGGTACTTGAAAATACCTTGGTACATGATGTTGCTCTGACTCTCCCGCCCTCGGAGAGACTTCCTCTGGTTTGGGGTCGAAGCCGGTTTTGGTAACTGCTATGCCGCAGGTTCTTTTCCCTTGCTATAAGAGACCGAGATCGCATTCATCTCTCTCGCTGCCGGTTGATCACCTTTTATCTGCTTGATCCCCTCGGGTGTCAGAAATTTAGCAATTGGTGGTACGTCGAAGGCACAACGTTCATCTCGTGCAGCCATGGCCTTCCCAGGATGATATTATAGCCCATGTCCCCATCTACTACTTCAAAGAGAGTTGTCTTCATTACGCCCTCGGCATCCGTAAGTAGTAAAATTACCCTTCGGGTTTTCACGCTTGCGAGGTTAAATCCAGCAAGGAGTTTTTTGTCGGGACGATGCTCCCGGTGAGTTTATCTTGATCTAGAACTCTCTATTGTATGATATTGGAGGAACTTCCTGGATCCACTAAAACACGTTTAATTTTTAAATTTAACACATTTAAAGAGATTACCAGTGTGGCAGTTGTAATCCGTCCGCGTCTTCATCCGTGAACGTGATATCATCCTCCCGGAGCCTCTTACTATGGGTTGTCGATACTTTTTTTTCTTTGCGGACGAGAAAGTGATCCCATTAATCTCATTTCCTCCAAAGATCATGTTGATAGTTTGGTGTTGAGGTTCCTTTCCTACTCTCGAGGTTTTCATGTCGCCCATGTCTCGGCCGTAATTATTTTTGGCTCGGTCACTCAAGAATTCTCTGAGGTGACCGTTTTTTAACAACGTTGCCACTTCTTCACGGAGGTGCTGGCAGTCCCCAGTCCTATGACCATTAGTGCCATGGTATTCACACCATAGATTTGGGTACCTCTGGCTGGGATCAGACCTCATCGATCTCGGGAACCGTGCCTTTTTAATATCTCTCATGACCGACACTAACTCCACCACACTGATGTTGAAGTTATATTTTGATAACTTTGGATAGGAAGGACCTCGTGGCCCCGGGGTCTCCCTATCCTGCAATGATTTGTTATTCCGCCAGCGATCAGTCTTAAAGGTCATTGATAAACTTGTCTACCGACCCAAAGTTCCTACCGCGACCTTCCGTCTGCTCGTAGGGTAGAAACTGGCCCCTTGAAACTCATCTAAGTGAGTTGACATCGTCCTTTATTTTTTCTTTGTTCTTCTCTTGTCCCTTTGCTGATGACGGGAAGTCAACCTGATCGTCTTTAATCCTTATCTTTAACTCGTACCTATTGTGGAAATTTGCCCAAGTCGTTGCTTGAAACTCGAGCAAACTTTCCTTCAACTTCTGAGAAGTATCTGAACTCCTCGGGTTCAAACCCTTAGTGAACGCTTCAGCTGCCCATTCATCCGGGATGGCCGGTAACAACATCCTTTCCTTCTGGAACCGGCTAATAAATCTTCGTAATAATTCGGATTCTCCCTGCGCGATCCTGAATATGTCAGCTTTTCAGTCGTGTACCTTTCTGGCACCGACATGGGCCTTAATGAATGAATTCGCGAGCATTTCGAAGGAATCTATTGAATGCTCGGGCAATAATAAGTACCATGTCAAGGCTCCCCTCATGAGAGTCTTACCAAATTTCTTCAATAACACGGAATCAATTTCGTGAGGAGCCAAATCATTTCCTTTCACCATCGTTGTGTAGGTGGTGATGTGCTCTTGTGGATTTGAGGTCCCATTGTATTTTGGCACTTCTGGCATCCTGAATCATTTTGGGATTAATTCCGCAGCCGCACTCAGTTTGTACGATAATTGGATGTACTTCTTCGAGCTCGGGCCTTTCAATACTGGGGTGCGCCCGGAATTTGGTCTATGCGGGCGTTTACTTCCTTTATGAACCGTAGGAGCTCCTCCTTGAATGGATCGCTATCGTTGTTGAGGCCAGATTTACTCCCCCCAACCCTGTCAGAGCCAACGTCCCCCCTGGAAGTGTTGTTGTCGATTCTTTGCATTGTTTGGTTTGCAGGAACAACAGGGGAAACTAGATCTCGCCTTTTTGCATTATTTGAAACGCCTGATAGCGCCTGCTTTAACTCCGTCATAACCTAATCCTATCGTGTGAGGTGGCCTAAAATGATTGCATGTTGCTCTTGCAGGATCTTTACCGCATCTGCTACCTTCCCCTGTTCAGCACCATCTGGAGTCGTCTCCCGTACTTGTCTGGGGTACTGCCCGTCATATACCGGCGTGGCATCTTCCCCCTCATTGCGAGTGTCGCTGATCGTGTCGTCAAAATGGGGGTTTTCCCCTTGAACCTCAGGATTGCGAGTGTTATTAATGGTATAGTTTGCCATTTTTTGTGATTTTTCTAAGACAAGAACAATCAAAGCTCGTGAGTGAAAGAGGTAAAGATCAACTTAACAACACGACTGTCTAGGCCCCACAGTGGGCGCCAAACTGTTTACCTGAAAAATGATACAGTTGAATTTGTTCGTGATTTCTAGACAGATGAATCAATTTGATCCCAAAAGACAATGAATTAATCGATTTGGATGCAAAATATTTAGCTCAAAACATAGATGAAAAGATAGATTTTA